ACTATTTCTGGCAGTCTGCAAAGGCCCAAAATGTCATTACCCAACCATCACATAACTCCATGAGCATAATATTGTGCTCTGTCTCTGGCCAGATGTGGAATCTATTAAGTCTACAGCTAGACTAAGTCCCAAAGTTAGTGGAGAAGATTAAGGTGTGCAGATAAAGGATTACACTATTATCAAACAGATATTGTGTATACTTGACTGTAGGTTGACTTCATGTCGAGGGCAGGTTTTGGGCCCTAAATTATGAATTTTGATATGTCATGATTAAGCAAAGTACAGTACTTGTACTGACCCATGGAAAAGCCAACCCAGGTTTTTATGGCCAATTTTTAACTAAAATTTCGATATGAGTATGTACATTACTTTCTGCAGCCCCTGTGAGCATCTGACCCAGATGTCAGTTTGCTTTGCTTACATCCAAATTGGTGATGGTCTTTTAAAGTTCCCTTTCTCCCTTCCCCTTATTTTTAGTTCCTGTCTGTAGTCCTCATGTGGCTGCCTCTGCTTGCCAGGACACTGGAAACCATCTCTTGCCGACTGGAAAGCTGAGGGACTCCCGGAAAGCCGAACATTCCCGGAAGCCCAAGGCCTTACAGACCCTCTGCAAGGAACGGCCCCACTCGTTGGTGGACCTGCAGGCTTACAAGGACACTAAGATCTTGGTAGCCAAATTTTTGGAGCACTCGAACTGTAACCTGCCCCCGGAAGTGCGTCACGTGGTAAACAGCATCCGGTCGGTCATCAAGTCTGATGAGCGGCACATGGAAGAAGCCATCTTCAGTGCCAACATCATTGACCAGGTGGGTGGCTTTTAAGGCTTTATTGTATGTTGGGGAAATGGGATGTATAGAGAAGCATTGCTGAATGTCAAGACCGATGCCATGAGGGAATTACAGAGCAAAACCTAGTAGGAACAACTTTACTTTTGCATCATTCTTTTTAAAACACCCAAAATGAGATATCTTGGAGATGGGATCCAAGTCTAAACACAAAATCCATTCATATACATACATCTCCTACACATAGCCTGAAGGTAATTTTATACAATATTTTAAATAGTATTGTGCATGAAACAAAGGTGTCACTGTCTCAGCCACCCATGAAAAAAGTTTTTAATTTTGGAGTATTTTGGAGTTTGGAATTCTGGATAAAGCATAAAGATGTGGGGTCTGCAGTGCAGTGCCACTGCATTGTGTGATTTGCAGTGCTTTGCCACTGTGTTGTGGGGTGCTCCTGCTTTAGGGTGTCCATAGTGCAGTTTCACTTAGGATGTGTGTAGCTCACTTCTGCAACATTAAAGTTTCTGTAGTTCAACTCACATTATGATTTCAGTAGTTCGGTTCTAACAAGTTACAGTGTCTTTAGTATGGATCTATTGCATTATGGTGTTTGTTTGACCTTTATTCTCTTATGTTGTCTTATGATCTAAGATGGCCCCCCAAAAGCACCAGGTAAGTTAGACCACAGAAACCCACTGGGAGGGGACCTTTGGCAAATCATATTCTGTCAGCCTCAGAGGAAGGCAAAGGCAAACCCCCTCTGAACAAATCTTGCCCAGAAAACTCTGTGTTGTTTATCGTCATAAGTCAGAAATGACTTGAAGGCACATAGCAACAACAAATTGCACCCTGCTGTTTAACTGCTCAAGTTATTACTGAGCCAATAAAGCCATCCAAAACATTGAATTTCAAATGGACATTCTTGCCCCATTACTTCATTTGCAAATGAAGCACCATCTGAAGATTCTCACACCTGGCCTGAGATGGTGGCAAATTTCTCAGCTCATCATTAAAATTTTAAACAGCAAGAAAACAAATACCCATATGTTTACCAAACTGCAAGGAAGGAGCCCCCCCTATTTCTGGGGCTGAGAGTTTGTGACTTGCCCAAGGCCACCCAATGGGTTTCCATGGTTGAGTGAGGAATCCTGGCCTCCTTGCACAGAGATTCAAGAGGGAAATGTGTTGGTTGCATGACTTTCCTTGTCCTCCTTTCCTCACCTTACAGGTGATTACAAGCTCCCAGCAGACTGTAGATACCTCACGAAAGCGACTTCAGGAAGACCTCCACCTCCAGAGCTGTGGGGCACTGAGCTCCCCGGTTGCCTTCTTACGCAGGGCCCATGTCACCCACACCTTCGAGCGGGGAAGGCCCCACAGTTTCATCGGAGTTTGCCGAGAGACCATCCTTTGACCCTAAATAAATGGTTGGCACCACTATTAAGGAATACAGGCCCACTCAGGAGACCTTGAAGATCCAAGGCAACTGGTGGATGGCTGGGATTGGGGTCATCATCGGGGAAGAGATGGCAAAAATGATCCAACAAACACCCTCTTCTCCACAAGTCTTCCTTTTGAAGTCCCTGTCTGGATGGATCTTCAGTCTCAATGGCCAAAAAAAAAGGCCCAAGTTCATGGATGTATCTTCAAATGACAACCTTTGCAGAAGGGGCAAAACACTCAAAACCAAATGGTTTTGAAATAAAACAAGAAAACTTGCAAAAGTGTACATTCCCCCTATGTTGAAGAATCAGGATGCTAAAAGTTTCAAGCGCTATCAGCTTGGAGAGGAAGGAGGTGGGACAGAGACTGTGTTGTTGCTGAGCTGCAACAATGCTATGGTACAACTTGGAAGTTGTATTTACTTCACGGTACCTCAAAAGTGTTTTAACTAAATCTGAACAGTGTTTTAATAATAATGATGACGATGATGGTGATGATAATAAAAATTTTCAAAAGGTATCCCTGGACTTTACATCTTTCAGATTCCATATCAGTGGATGGATTGTTTATCAGGACAGGAAGAGTGTGTGCTTATTGTTCTATTTCTCTCATATCTCTCATCTATCTATCTATCTATCTCTTTACATCTTTCAGAACTGATTTCAATATCAGTGGGTGGATTGTCTATCAGGCCAAGAAGAGAGTTGCTTATTGCTCTATCTCTCTCATATCTCTATCTATATCTATATCTCTCTATTTCTCTCTGTCTATCTCTTAGTGGAAGATGAGAGTGTTCTATATCTCTCATATACCCTCATCTATC